CTTCAATAATATCCTCTGCTTCTCAATCAGGCTCAAACTGATAAGCGATATTAACGACGCCGTTGTTTACAATACAACCAGAGCACATGCTGCTGAGGTGAGGGGTGGGACGGTTAGACGTGTACTAGAGGCGGTTCAACCAATCACAACACACTGGGCTAGCTAACCAATCAGAGCCCATCGCCTATTTATACGGGCGGGGCTTCATAAAAGCAGGAAATGATCAGCGCGTTTCTCAGAGAGAGGGACAGAGCAGTGTGGTATAAAGGTAAATTATGAGAAAAATAATGCGTTCTTTTAAAAACGAAGCATTAACATGTTAGACTGCACCCCATAAACCCAATCAAGCCTAGAAGAAAAAAAAAAACTTTGAACCACCCCTTTAACTTGCTAGAGCAGCATAGAGCTGTCACTGAAACAAGTGTGGGTTTCTTTGAAAATTTGTGTGGCGTTTCAAATCTTTCTGAAGCTTAAACCATTAATCTATGATCTCTTCTTGCATTCTACTATAAATTGAATGTGTACCTATAGTAATTAGTTTATGAATGGTTGATGATCTGATTTTTCTTCATTTGTTTATAGATGCAGATCTTTGTCAAAACACTCACTGGTAAGACCATCACCCTTGAGGTTGAGCCAAGCGACACCATTGAGAACGTCAAGGCAAAGGTCCAGGACAAAGAAGGCATTCCCCCTGACCAGCAGAGGTTGATCTTTGCCGGCAAACAGCTGGAAGATGGCCGCACATTGTCTGACTACAACATCCAGAAAGAGTCCACCTTGCATCTTGTGCTGCGTCTCAGGGGAGGCATGCAGATCTTCGTCAAGACCTTGACAGGCAAGACCATCACCCTTGAGGTTGAGCCAAGCGACACCATTGAGAACGTCAAGGCAAAGGTCCAGGACAAAGAAGGCATTCCCCCTGACCAGCAGAGGTTGATCTTTGCCGGCAAACAGCTGGAAGATGGCCGCACACTGTCTGACTACAACATCCAGAAAGAGTCCACCTTGCATCTTGTGCTGCGTCTCAGGGGAGGCATGCAGATCTTCGTCAAGACCTTGACAGGCAAGACCATCACCCTTGAGGTTGAGCCAAGCGACACAATTGAGAACGTCAAGGCTAAGATCCAGGACAAAGAAGGCATTCCCCCTGACCAGCAGAGGTTGATCTTTGCCGGCAAACAGCTGGAAGATGGCCGCACATTGTCTGACTACAACATCCAGAAAGAGTCCACCTTGCATCTGGTGTTGCGTCTCAGGGGAGGTTCAGATATTTAAACTGACAATATCAGGGATGGACATTTGATTATTTCAGTATCCCCTGCTCATGCACTCACCACTTTTCTCCCCTCTTCTCTCCATACTTTATTACTGAATCCCAATACATTTTGCTATGTTTTTCCACCTGTTTGTTTTTGTTCAAAATGACAAAATAAAAGCATTGAAATGTAAGATTGTGATTTGTTTCCTTGTCTTCGTGTACAACTACTAATAAAAGATCTGGTAAAAATTAAAATGAATGAAATAGGACATTGGTTTATTCTCAAATAGAAAACAAAGCTCAGATTATGCTGTTAGATGCAAACGGGACCATGCAAGTTGTACTGATGTCAAATTTAATTAAATTAGAAGTGGCTGTCTCTAAGCCATCAATTTTTGGATCCTAGCACTTGGATACATTTTTAAGATGTCTTTTTAAAATTTTCAATTTAAAAGCTACATGGCAGTTGCCTAATTTGTTAATACTCCATATTTGGTTGGTAAGAACCTTGGGATGAAAATCTATTTCGGTGGAATCTGTGATGGCCTGTTCAGGTGCTGCTGCTATAAGTTTAAAAATGGTAAGAGGGTGCCACCAAGTGTCTGTTCTTGTAACGCGAATGAAATTCTAATGAAACTTTACATGAGACGTTAAGAAATTATTTGCCTTTGTTGGTCTAGTTACACTGGTCAGGCTGTACTATTTTTAGTGTTAGTTTATATAGCCTATACATTCGGGAACACCTAAAGCAATGATAAAAAAAAAAAATCTTAAAACGTGATACAAATAATTATAACCGTTTTAAATTTAAATCTGCCCAGCAATCGTTATAAAATATCTAAAAATAAATCCTAATCCTGTAACGACTGGAAAGGTCGTGGAAGTCTTGGAAATTCACTTATCAAAACGCGCGGCAGCCTGGACATAAGACTACTAGAACTGACTGCTTATTGTTCATTCATAATCCGTAATACCTACATGATCTAATGTTAATTCACTAATCTTAATTTTAAACGTAAAATGTATTAGTATCAATTGGAATTGACATAAACCTAGTTTAGTACATGATACCTGTATTAACTAATGCTAATAAAGTGGCCCTAATGAGAGTCTTGGCTTCACTTCACTTCACTTTACTTTATTGTGAAGTGTTCTCGCCATTAAAAATTACTCCGCTGAACAAATTACAGCTCTAGTCTCTGAGACGTTGCTTTTGTTTTGTCTTTAAAACAGCTTAATCCCTTATCTACTGCTCGCATCAGCAGTTGAATCAATGAAAGTAATATTGTCATAATAAATAAATATTTCCGGAACACAAGCAGAAATTTGAGAAATCAAAAGGCAAATTTTTTTGACAAAACATTTAGAGGGAAGAACCGGCTACACCACCGTCTGCGCAGAGCAGTTGACAGCTGCTTCGAGGCGGTCAGTTACACAGGAGCATGGCTCGGACCTGGGGTAACTTTTTCTTGTCTCTACTCGATTACAAGACCGAGAAATTTGTCATCGCTAAAAACAAAAAGGTCGGAGTTCTGTTCAGACTCTTTCAGCTGGGGTTGATTGGATATCTGATCGGGTAGGTGCCTTGTGCTTTCTCTATAATATCAAGACGTTGAGGTGAACGAGCGGGATCTGTCAGTAGGCTATTTAGAAGACTGAATCTTCAAAGTAACGTTACATATTATAAAAGGTCGTCAAGTGTTTGTTTATTTAAAAAATGGTTACTATGAATTTCAGCAAACCGAATGTAAGCCGACATGTAAAGCACCATGTCTCGAATGTTATTTATATCAAGGCAAAGACCTACAGCATTGCAGTGTCCCTGCACTGTTTGACCTGCTGGGGCTCGGTTTAAATTTAGCATGTAGTGAAAAAGACCTTTGTTTTGATTCAGATTTGTAATCTCCATTTAGACTATATATGTACCAGAACCATACAAAACCTTAATAATACAGTTTCTTAATTGTTTCACATGCTGTTTGAGATTCATACACCATGAAACCAAAAGCTGCTGAATGTAAGATGACCTGGATCACATGTGCTGTGGCCAAATGCTACACAAAAAAGCGCCAGCCTGATTTTATAATTGCCATTTAAAGCGGTTTAATACTTGCCCTTTACAAGAAATAACTGTTATAGAACTTAAATGTATCTATAGGTTATAACGTCCTTCAGGGTGTGTTGACCATACTGTATATAGGACATGTGACTTACAGCATTGCTCTCTATATCTCACGCACAGATCCTCTTCTTTATACTCTAAAATAACCAATAAAATGTCTTTTTATACTTTTCACATTGTAAGTTGTTTCTCACACTGTTTATTTTGCTTGTGCGTCTTCTTAAAGGTGGGTTTTTCTTTGGAAGAAAGGCTATCAGGAGACTGAGGAAGCCATCCAGAGTTCTGTGATCACTAAACTCAAGGGTGTAGATCTCACCAACAGCTCTCATTATGGTCTGCAGTTATGGGGTGCAGAGGACTATGTCATTCCCCCACAAGTAAACTCACGTCTTTCCTGTATATTTGGACGCAGTATATTTGAAAACCATCTGTTAACAACCTTTCTCAAAATCTCTGTTTTATTTATTGGATTATGGATATACCTACAGATAATGTCATGATATACACATCTTTTGCTAAGAATTTGAACTCTAATCATTTAATGTGTTAATTATGTTACACAATGGAACATCTGTTTTCAGTTATCACAATATTGGTAGTCCTCTAAATGAACAGCTGTTTTTTGGACATAATTTTGCTCTTACAGTTGGTGATTGATATAGGAATATTTATGTTAAGTTTTTCATGTTTATTTATTTATATTAATAAATAAATATTTATTTATAAACAGTTATTTATAATGTTTATTTCACCATTTATACTTTGGATTAGAATGTATTCTAATCAAACAGAAGCCACACTCAGTGCCCTAATGCTTTCTGCAAAACTGTCTTTGAGCTGTCTAATTTTAATTTTAAAAAGTCTATATATATATATTTTTTTTTAAGCTTTTAGACTTGGAAGCTCATTATTTTGGCCTTTGGAGGATAAAGATTTTTTTTTAGATGGATGAAGATTTCTTTCTGCTTTAATCAAATAAAGACTGAAAAGAACCAAACGCTTCTTGGTTCAGGTTTGGTGAAAAAACTGAAGTGAGAGAGTATCACATTAGACAGAATATGTCAGGGTTCTGATCAATTAATTTGCTGTTGAAAATGTATTTCACAAGAATATGTCTTTATTTCTTTTGAACAAACAGGGGGAGAGAATCTTCTTTATTGTGACAAATTACGTAGTGACACCCAACCAAAGGCTGGGTTACTGCCCTGAGGTAAGAGACAGGTTGTTGTTATTTTATTTTTATTCCCAACAAAAATTACGCAACCAAAGACATAAGTCATTTGTTGGAAAGAGTAGTACTGTCTCTCAATTAGAGCGCTGTTTTCTCTCTGAACGTCTCTGTACATTTTAACCACTGAGTTTGTTGTATGTGTTTGGTTCTTCTACTTATTTCAGAGTCCTAAAGTACCAGATGGTTTATGTAATTATGACAATGAATGTGTGGAAGGGGAAACTGTCATAGCAGGCCATGGTAAGCACAAAACCTAAATGAAATACCAAGCCTTTTGTTCCCTTATAACTGCACACCTGAAGTTATTTAAAAGGAAAACCTCTGTGAAAGTGCAAGATTCTTGTTAAAAAAAAAAGTTGTTACATTGTGTTAAACTATGACCCACTGGCATGTTTAAATTCCTGAGCCTTAAAGGGACTATACATTTTATTGTTGTTTATTCAGGAGTGAAGGCAGGCCGCTGTATAAACGACACAGGAACGTGTGAGATTCATGCCTGGTGCCCTGTTGAGCATGGCCAGACAACATCGTAAGAAAACTGTTTTGTACCAATTCCTTTCAATTCATGTTCAGTTGCAGTACATCCACCTCACTTTATTTACAATATCATTCGCTCTTCATGCCTATATACAACTATTTGAAGGGGGAAAAAAACATGTTGGTGTTGTACCTTTAATGTTTCAAATGTTGCAACAGGGAGCCCTTGCTGTCAAATGCAGAAAACTTCACAATCTATGTAAAGAATTTCATCAAGTTTCCAAAATTTGCCTTCTCCAAGTAAGTCAGTGTGTTTATTTTATGTATTGGAGCCTATAGAACAAATGTTCTCACTTTTCTAAAACTAAAGTATGTTCAGACATATATGTGACCCTGGACCACAAAACCAGTCTTAAGTCGCTGGGGTATATTTGTAGCAATAGCCCAAAATACATTGTATGGGTCAAAATTATAGATTTTTCTTTTATGCCAAAAATCATTAGGATATTAAGTAAAGATCATGTTCCATGAAGATATTTTGTAAATTTCCTACCATAAATATATCAAAACGTAATTTTTGATTAGTAATATGCATTGCTAAGGACTTCATTTGGACAACTTTAAAGGCGATTTTCTCAATATTTCGATTTTTTTGCACCCTCAGATTCCAGATTTTCAAATAGTTGCATCTCTACCAAATATCGTCCTATCCTAACACACCATACATCAATGGAAAGCTTATTTATTCAGCTTTCAGATTATGTATAAATCTCAATTTTGAAAAATTGACACTTAAGACTGGTTTTGGAGTACAGGGTCACATATGCAATGGGCTGTGACTTGTTTCAAATGCATTTAGTGACCTAATAAGTGATTGAAGCTTGTAATATGTTTATTGTTTATACCCATCACTTCATGATAGAACTGAACTAACCTGCAGTAGTCTTATTTAAGCTTTTCAACTAGGTTTTCTACAGCTTAATATTTTGCATGTTATTTACTTTGCAAAGCACCAGGGTTTTAGGTGGAGCAACTATAAAATGCATAAAACCTCCTCACCCCCACAGGATGCTGCTGCTAAAACCTTTCCTCATAAAATCTGTAGATCATATCTAGCAATTCTAGCTTGTGTGATATGGACACCAGCTGACTTAGTATCTAGTATCATACACATGTGACTTTAGTTCCCCCCCCCAACCCCGTCTTTCTTGTTTGGATGTTTTTCATGCTGCATTTGAACTGGTTTGTTTCTGTGTCAGCACAGGATGTTCTGTTGTCATTTCAAACTCCTGCAGAATAATAAAGTTCATAGGCCACTCACAAGTGCATAGACAGGATAATTTCCGTGGCTTAAATACAGTGTCTGGCAAGCTGTTATTTAAAAAGCCAGTACAATCCTTTTAAATGAGCACACTAACAAATCTAAACTGAGCACTACCATGCTGTAATTGCTTTTTTATTTCTCTCAGAAATAGATTAATTCACTCGCCAAGTCATTACAAAGCAACATACCAAAAAAACAAATGCTAAACATATGCTATATACAAAGTTTAGAGATCAATCTCTAAATCTACCGTCATGTAGGGGTGTGAAAGAGCAGACTTGCTTGCACATAATGAAGCGTGGATACTTGGATACTGATGGCACAGCACAACACACCACAAGCTGCTCTGAATATCTGACGCTTACTCATCTCTATTTATACCAGCACAGCACTGAGACTTACAGTCTTGATGTCCAGTGCCTTGCCTGTTTCACTGACAGTTGTTCCTTTGTCCTTACTGGCATGATCTTTGCAAAGTCATCACATTGTAGATTAAGCAAATGCTATGAGCTGTTTCAGATACTCCTCCTACTTTTCTTTCCCTCACTTGAAGATCGAACGTCCTGCCTACCACCAACAGCACATATCTGAAGACGTGCAGATATGACAAGGACCATCATCCCTATTGTCCCATCTTTCTTGTGGGAGATGTGATTAACTGGACTGGATACAGTTTCCAGGATTTGGCAACAAAGGCAAGTGCTTCAAATGACATGACAAGTTAAAACAAAGTCTCCACCATTGTAAACGCACTGGTAGTTGACGTCCAAGCTACAGCTCAACGTATAAGCAAAGAGAGATTTCTTGTCCACATTGAGACAGGGATCTTTTTTAGTGTATGATTTGGGGATTCTTTTAAAAAAGATGCTCATGCAAAAAATAATAAAAGGCTGATCCAGGCACCCCAAAAAGTATTTGGACACTTATAAGTGTGTGAATGTCTTATGTGTCTGCATATAATTCAAAAATAACAAAATATCATACAAATTGACATTAATTTAAAAAAAAAAGGAAAACAAGTTTGCACTGTATGCCATTATTTTTTAGCAAAAGACTCAAAAGACACTGATTTTTAAAAAATAATTTTAAAAAGCCTTTATAAGACTTGGAACAATGAGATTGGAACAATTAACTCCCAAAACTGCAGAGGACTATCATGACGCCCTATATTTGATGCAGAGAGTAATTTTATTAACTGATATCATTGTTTTCCTTTCTTTCTATATACACACACAGGGTGGTTCAATTGGAGTTGGAATCGAGTGGAATTGTGATTTGGATAAAGATGAATCTCAATGTAACCCTGAATATAGCTTCACACGCTTAGATTCCTCTAAAAATTCACAGAACTCTGTCACTTCGGGTTACAACTTCAGGTATTGCTCTGATTTATCGATTTTAGTTCATATAACAAAATATATAACAAAAGTATTTGATTTCAGCTGTTTTTTTTTAAAACTTTGCTAAGCACACATGCTTTCTTCAAAACTCCATCCACTAAAACATGCCAGCAAACCTGAATGTGCAAAATGACTCATTGACTACGTTTACATGGACATCAGTAATCTAATTATTTACCTTATTCTAAATAAGCCAATATTATGATTATGGTGTTTACATGAGTTGCTTTTAGAATATTCCTTTCATGTTCCCGTTTTACATGTTATAGTACATAGTTTGATTAATGGCACACGTCATTACGTCTTCGCGATGATGCCATGTAGTTTTGGGTGTTTCATTTTTAATTTTATGAAAGCTTCAAGTGCAGTTAATTATTTGTAGGTGCATACAGACGACAGCGGTGTTGAAGCTCTTTTATTTGCCGTCAAACGGTTGACCACTGCCGTGTGTGTATCCTGTCGCAAAATGCGGCGAAATGTCCTACACGACGGTAATAATGTGATTAAAGGGGTCATACTGCACTTCAGTAATGCGACTAAAATAGGAATACTCCACGTCTTAATTCGATTTCTGTTTACTTCGATTATGACTTTAGCCGGATTAAGGTAATCTCAAAAATCAGAGTATTGTCTTAATCGTATTAAAATCGGAGTATTGTTGTCCATGTAAACGTACTCATTGACAGAGAGCATTTCTGAGTGGCTAGTTTTCCATAATCGCATTTTATGTGCAGTATTACACCAAAATTGCTTAAACCTTTACTTTTTTTTTTAAGCATTTAGTTCTGATTGAAATAGTATCATTACATTGGCTGACATGTTTCTCTCTTTATCAAGATTTGCTCGATACTACAATGATGCAGCAGGTCAACCCTATCGGATTCTATTTAAAGTGTATGGCATTCGGTTTGATATATTAGTTAATGGAAAGGTAAGAGATAATACACACTTTATTGAGAATTCTTAGAGATTCCTATCATTACAGTCATGGTGAAATAGTAAAAATATGGTGTTTATCTGTTTTCTAGGCTGGGAGATTCAGTATCATTCCTACAGTGATCAATATTGGCTCTGGACTTGCTTTAATGGGTGCTGTGAGTATATAAGCTAATTACAGGTGTCACTAATAGTTGAAGTATAAAACGCACAAAACAAAATCTTTCCGAGACTTGTGTGATTGGTGTTGATCTCATTCCACAGGGGGTTTTTGTCTGTGACATGATTCTGCTCTACATGATGAGCAAAAGCTCCTTCTACCGAGAGACAAAATTTGAGGCAGTCACAAAGTAAGTGGCTATTGTGTCGTCGACTTCTTAAAAAAGTTTACTTGGAAGATTAGAAAGATGCAGTGGATCGTTATTTTCATGGTTTCTATGAATACTATTTGCACCCACAGAAAGAAATCTGGAAAGCACAGAGAGAGAAAGCATGTAAGACATCACGGTCATCATCGCCAAGATGGGCGACACAAGAGAGAGGAGAAACAGGCAACAGAGATGCAGCCATTGACATCAGTGTCATGTCAGCCCAATAACAACCCAGAGAGACAGATCCAGCCCACAGGCTCAGCACTCAAAACCCACAGTCCTGAGAGAAAGCCACAGGGCACAGTGTCATTCAGGACTCAGCACGCTACAGAAAAGCAGAAAAACATTTCACCTGTTTCCACCCTGAGAACACCACGCAACCAATAGAGGATTTTTTGATGCTGAATCCCATTGGATTTACTGTGGATGTATGAAAGGTATTATAGCGGGTCTATGCTCAGTCATACCAAAGAGGAATACTGCCAGCGATGTAGTGCTCTCCTAGCGTTTTGAATAGCAATGGATTTTTGATTTTTTTTTTTTTACAAAGGATTTGCAATAAGATAACTAAATTATTTATTATAAATTTGGCCTGACACCAAAACATTGTCAAACCAAGGTTGAATAAATGTTAAAATATTTTACGAAAAATGCTTGGGTCACTGCATTCCTTTCATTTTGAATAAATGTGAAAACAAAAAAAAAACAAAAAAATTTAAATGATCTACACTACCATTCAACAGTTTGGGGTCAGTAAGTTTTTTATTTTTTAATTGTTCAGCAAGAATGCATTAAATTGATCAGGTAGAAACATTTAGAATGTTACAAAAGAACTCTATTTCAAATGAATGCGGTTCTTTTGAATTTTGTAAATGTATAATGTGGACAGACTATTTTCAACATTAATAAGAAATATTTCTTGAGCACTAAATCAGCATAGTATGATTTCTGAAGGATCATGTGACACTGACGAATGGAGTAATGGCTGCTGAAAATATGGCGTAGCTATCACAGGAGTAAATTACATTTTAAAATATATAAATAAAAAATATATTTTAATTGTAATATCTCAAAATATTACTGTTTTTACTGTATTTTTGCTAAAATAAATGCAGCCTTGGTCAGTATTTCAGTAACATTAAAAAACTACCAATTCCAAACATTTGCACGGAACTGTAAATATCTATACTGGAATGCTTGCAATAACTGGACTACAAATTGATTCTTTAGAAAACTTGTAGTTTTCACTACTGAGAGCGACACAATTGTGGGGTTTAAGCACTGAGGACACATAAATATGACTGTACCTGTTCACAGTCTGAATTTAAAAAATCATCAAGCAGATTATTTGATTCAAATGACACTACAGAAATTCAAGAGTTATAATTCGTAAAACACCCTGGAGCTTGAGCACTTACATACTGAACACCACACTAACAATAGGCAGACTATTCACATGCAGTATACAATAAAATATTAAAAATTTCAGGTGATAAAGGATGAGTAGCCTACTATAAATAACTATCATTTAACACCATGTACTTTAAGAAACCACACAATTTAATCCATGAGGTTAATGATTTATTTTCATCAAAATATCTGAAATAAAACTGATTGATGCCTGGAGTTCACAGAGAAAGCATATCTGTTGGGCTGCTCTACTAAATCCAAACCCAGCCCTGCCCTGGAATAAGCATTAGGAAAATATTAAATTACAAGAGGAAAGAATATGACAACACACCATTTTTAAATATCTAAATTTCAGTGCAATTAGTACTGAGAAAATATGTTACGTTTTATTGGCTAAACACAAGTAAGCTCACGGACAAAATCAATCAGCACTCTGCCCGGAGGCATCTTCTCTAGCATCACACTGTTGTACATCTACACGGCTGCTGTACTGTCCGAGTCCCTTTAGTACACATGCACCATTCCGTAGAGGAAAGTCCAGAACAGCACGTAAGTGAAGAGGCCGCCCACCAAGCCTCCGGTGAAGAGCAGACGTCGAGATTTGAAGCACTTGCTCCATCGGCGACCGGCTTTGAGAATCAGGAGCAAGGACAGCAGAAAAGAAGCAAGGAAATAAAACACGAAGCCGTAGAGTCCCGTTAGGCCGAGGACGCCCGCTGTGGCGCCGGAGAGAGCGGACACGGACGTGCGGCAGTAGTCGAGCACAGCGTTGTTTCCTCTGACGGCCACCTCGCCGATGAACTGCGGTCCCTCGCGTTTAGTTGCTACCGTGGCCATGTTGTGATGTTAAAAACACGCTGAGAGACAAAGCAGAAGAGATGTGAAACACAGATCATCACATGAAGCCGGCTGAAACATCATACATTACTGACGTTAATGCCCTCCTCCACTTACCGTTAGGATCAAGACAATGATAAACACAAATCAAACTTCTGCCTCCGTGATTCAAGAAAGCATCGTTTACATTAAACACCCAAACATCACAAGCTACGTGTTTAAGTCTATATTTCTATGAGGAATGTATTAATTAGAAAAATACAGCGTGTGTCATTCTCGGTCAGCCATTTTCTCGCTAAGCATTATGGGACTTTTAATGAAACTCGAATTCTATTTTTTTTATTTAATCTTCATGACCAACTTGTACTTAATTTCATATAATAATATATATATTAATACACATTTGTGTGTATAATTCTGAGCAACATTACATTTTTAATATTTGCTTATTCTATTTACCTTTCACTCACTCTACGGGATCGGCGAAGGCTCAAAAAACGGTGGTCGAAAGTAAGAATCATTTGCAAGAATCGGTTCTTTTCAAACTGTTCACTTCAAAGAACCGATTGAACTCAGTAGTGATTCTTTTGTGTCAGGGCGTAATATTATATCATTGCATGTTTGCTGACATTTCATGTAACTGCCCAAATATCAGCTTTTTGTTTGTTTGTTTGTTTTATATAATTATTCTGTATTATTATTGTTGGTTTTTATATTCTCTGAACTGTTAAATAATAACTGTTATTACTGAACTAAATACAACATATAATACTTTTTATTTTTCTTATTATTAAGTCTTATAAATAAGGGTGTTTATCAGCTTTCGGTTCGACCGAACCAAGCTAATTATTCAGTCCGATTCTTAAAGTCCCCCTGTAGTGAAAATCAAGTTTTTATGTTGTTTATTTGTCTATGTGGTGTTTTTAATATGTTTTTAGACAAACCATGTGCCAATCTATGAATCAACACCATTGTTGACTATTTTCTCCTTAAAGGCAGGGTATGTGATTTTTCAAAAACACTTTAGAAAACTGATTCGGGCCGAATCGCAAAACAAACTAGTAGCCAATCAGCAATAAGGGGCGTGTCTACTCGTGATGTGGAGGAGAGCGCGTTCAGTGCATGGGACGGACATTAGCCGAGCCGAGCGACAGAAAGATAGAGATGGCGGATAAAAAAACAAAAGAGGAAAACGTCTGCGGAACGATAAGGCAAGAAGTAGGACCCGTGTAAATATCGGATCAGCTTTCCAGCGCTGGAGAGAACTCAAGGAGCGGAGGCCTGCGATCGGACGCAGAGGTTGCTTTGTTTCTTCTCAATAGGTGAGTAACACCGTGTCTACAACAACTAAAGTCTGCCTACACTGGACGCGATAAAACGACCGTTGAAAACCATTTGAAATGTGTGTCAGCACGTCATAAATAGAACCCGGCAGCAGTTTTCTGTCAGGATTTGTTGCGCCGCGCCGCTCACGTCCATAGACACGGTGTAACATTGGTTTTGCTTTGTTTCACAGAACGAATCGTTGCCTGGGTTGCGTACGTATATGTGGGGCGGAGCTATCAAAATAGGGGCAAGACCCTTTTGGGGTAGGGCCGTGTTTGTTTTGGTGTTTTCAAATATCAACATTGGCTACCAGAAATCACCAGAAATAAATGATATTTATTAACAAAATCACAGCACAAGATAGGTGAGGAAGGAACACAGTCCAAACAATAGGGCAGCTTGGTAAGAGCACACAACTGGAGAACAGGTTGGTCAGAGTTAAGACAGTTCCAGACTTCGCAGCCACGGGGCAGCAGCTTAAGGAAGCAGAGGCTTGACACGTGTAGTCACAAGAAAAAACATTTAAATATGTAATTTTGATGATCATAGATAAGTTTAAAGGGATAAAATATTTGACTACAGGGGGACTTTAAATGAATCATTCAAAACAGTTTAACAGTGTGATCCGGTTCAACATATTCAAAAGATTCAAATCAAGAACGATTCGTTCATCGCTAACTCGAATCGTGGACAGCTAGAAACTCGGTATTATTTAGAGCAGTTTATTTTCGGTGCAGTTATATGACATATACTGCGCATATTTGCCTCCGACTGCACAAAAATAGTGCTTTCTTCAGAGATCATGGCGGCTTCACTCAGTTGTTCTGCTGGCTTTGTTCTCGGCATGGATCTGGGAACCACGTCAGTCAAAGTCGTGCTGCTGGACGCGCAGTCAAAGACAGTCACAGATAGTAGCAGTTTCCCTACAAACTCTGATATCAGCAGCACCTCAGACACACATGTAGGTAACAGCACTTTGATTAAAGCGGTGGCAGTCAAAAGATACACCATACTGAGAAATTATCCTCTCTCTCTCTCATTTTTTTTTAAAGTTATATTTACATTTTATAATTAATAATTAACTTTTAACAACTTACAAACCCCCTGCAGTTCCTTCACGAACATGTTTGGGAAACCCTAATGTTGATCAATTTTCTTTCTCTTTGAATGTTTATATCAATATGGAACAAGATTATCCTATTTAAATCAATGTGTTAAACGAGTTAGGTTAAAAGTAATCTAAAAGTAATCAGATTATATTATCTGAACCAACAACATGCCTGTTAGATCCTGTACCCACTAAATTACTGAAAGAGTTGTTACCTGTAGCAGAAGAACCGCTTCTCAATATTATTAACTCGTCGTTGTCTTTAGGTGACGTCCCAAAACCATTCAAGCTGGCGGTTATTAAGCCTCTTATTAAGAAACCACAACTAGATCCTAGTGAACTAGCAGATTACAGACCCATTTCAAATCTTCCATTTTTGCTTCAGTTTTAAATTCAGACTGTGCATAATGCAGCCTCATTCAAAGCACATTTACTGAACTCTTTCAGTACAGTAACAATGTTTCTCAGGTCTATTAAATATAACTCCACCCCATATAATTGCTGTTAATAGTGTTCATCGTCTGTTTGATTACGTCTTTAATTGATTTTTCTGTACATTTCTGCCATATGTACATTGACTGACAGTCACCACTGATAAGCTACCACTAAATATTGTAGAAACTTAATTTGCTGTAAAGTTGCTTTGCAATGGTTTGTATCGTGAAAAGCGCTGTACAAATAAACTTGAATTGAATTGAATTGAATAAATGTGCAATGTAATAAATTACGTTACTAATTACAATTTTCATAATGTAATAACAGACTTTGTAAGTAATCTACCCAGTATATGTGTGGCACTTTTTGTGAGTGTTGTTTAATGTGCTTTTTGAAACACACTTTTAATTTATTGTTGATAATAGGCAAAAGAGCAGGATCCTGCACTAATAATCGCCGCTCTGGACCAATGCATGGATGCTTTACCTAAAGACAAGCTGAAAAAAGTCAAGTGCATTGGAGTATGTGGACAAATGCATGGCATTGTGTTGTGGAAATCTAAATCAGGTTAACATTGAACAACTACTGAAAGCATGTTTGATGCTTCTTGCATTGTGGTGTGGCACTGTGGTGAAGGCACTCATCTTTAATCATGAATAAATAATTGGGATGGTATCAATAATTATACTCTCATCCATCTCTCTGTTAGGCTGTGAATGGCTGAGTGAAGATGAAATCATTAGATTAATTCCTAAAGACGTCAGTCAGCTGATCACCTGGCAGGATGGGCGCTGCAGGGCTGACTTCCTGTTTTCCTTCCCCAAACCAGATTGGTTTACAAGTGACAGGGAGCGTGTAACTGCAACAGAGCAGTCCGTTAAAGACGCAATTGTATGATGTGATAGTATGTCTCAAAACTTGCCTACTCTTCTACTACATACTCAAAAGTGTGTACTTTTTCTTCATCAACGGAGTACATACTTTAAGGGCATAGTATAAGTAGAAAAATTGGGACACAGCATAAATGTGCTCATCGCAATCACATAACATCTCCACCGGGAGGTTAAACTAGTAAACACAAACTGACCTCAGGATGAGTATATACTGATTGTTGTTTGTAGCTGAGCTGATATAACTACAACAGTCTGACTGTGGGTCACTGATATTTAGAAAACATAACATGCAGTTTGCAAAGCTAAAAAAGAGGCATCTAATCCACACTATACCTGCATCTCCTTTGTCAGTCATGCAGGAGTAGACACTACAGGAAGTCTCCCAGCGCCGCCCCGACCGCTGTGTGAGCAGGGATGCCGTACCACTCAGAGGAAGTGTGACCAGCCACAGCTCCGGACTCCACCACGACAGGCAAGAGCTGCACAGGGAAACCTGCATCCTTCAGACTGGAGGACATATGATCACACAGTCTGTTCATGCTAACACAGTAATTCATTTCAACACAGAGAAACTGTAATAATATTAAACATCATAGATTATTTAGAATTCCCATGTCAAGACTAAAGGCCCGTTCACACCAAAGATGATAACTATTGATAACTACAGGGGTTGGACAAAATAATGTGAACACCCTCTATTTTAGGGGTTAATATAATTTGTGTAGGCTACAGTGAAAAAGCAAACATTGTGATTAATCTTTTTGTTGTCTATATTTTCTAGTTTGTAAATCAGTGTAGTACTAGTTGTTCAGCAGTGTCTAGTATATGCTGTGCGTGAAATGGGTGACATGTCGGACTTCATGGGATCCTGTTTAGCAGGAGTGTCTGAAGAACTTAATGGCCCAGTTGTTGGGTGTTTTAAGAACAACAGTCTTTATGACCGAGTACACAAAGCATGGCAAGACTTTATCAGTGAAGAAGAATAGTGGGCAAAAAACAAAAGTGAATGACTGGGTCCATCAAACACTAAGAAGGATTATTGCAGCAAAGTGACAGCAAACCTCAATATTCACCTTAAGCACCCTGTTTCCACAAAAAAACAGATCATAGAGAACTTTACAAAGCCAACATCCATGAAAGAGCTGCAATTGCTAAAACTTTATTCACAGACACTAATGCTAAAATACAAAAAAGTTTGTGTCATAGTCATGAAACCTAGACAACTGGAGCACCAAAATGAACTTCAACATCTACCCAGGCACCTCAATCACCTGACGTGAAGATTATCAAACCACTGTGGGCAGATTTAGAGAGATACGTGAAAAGCAGATTCTCTCCTTTAACATCTCTAAATCAGCTGGCAGATGTTCTGATAGACGACATTCAGCTGGAGACTATTCAGACATATACATCTATTCTAATAAGGTTGGAGTCTGTATTAAAGGCAAACGGTGGTGAAACACCTTAATAATAAAATATTGTCAATTTCCTAGTTGTTCACATTATTTTGTCCAACCCCTGTAGTTATCAATAGTTATCATCTTTGGTGTGAACGGGCCTTTAGTCTTGACATGGGAATTCTAAATAATCTATGATGTTTAATATTATTACAGTTTCTCTGTGTTGAAATGAATTACTGTGTTAGCATGAACAGACTGTGTGATCATATGTCCTCCAGTCTGAAGGATGCAGGTTTCCCTGTGCAGCTCTTGCCTGTCGTGGTGGAGTCCGGAGCTGTGGCTGGTCACACTTCTTCTGAGTGGTACGGCATCCCTGCTCACACAGCTGTCGGGGCGGCGCTGGGAGACTTCCTGTAGTGTCTACTCCTGCATGACTGACAAAGGAGATGCAGGTATAGTGTGGATTAGATGCCTCTTTTTTAGCTTTGCAAACTGCATGTTATGTTTTCTAAATATCAGTGACCCACAGTCAGACTGTTGTAGTTATATCAGCTCAGCTACAAACAACAATCAGTATATACTCATCCTGAGGTCAGTTTGTGTTTACTAGTTTAACCTCCCGGTGGAGATGTTATGTGATTGCGATGAGCACATTTATGCTGTGTCCCAATTTTTCTACTTATACTATGCCCTTAAAGTATGTACTCCGTTGATGAAGAAAAAGTACACACTTTTGAGTATGTAGTAGAAGAGTAGGCAAGTTTTGAGACATACTATCACATCATACAATTGCGTCTTTAACGGACTGCTCTGTTGCAGTTACACGCTCCCTGTCACTTGTAAACCGGCCTGTCAATCATCTTGTCACAGTTAACATCCTCCACATTTCATTTCATTTAACATCCTACCGTATCAGAGAGAGAAGTAGCACATTGATCTGGCAGCCGTGGGTCTTTATTAGGGTTGGGTACCGAAACCCGGTACCAATATGGCACTGATACCTATGTAACCGGTATGTACTAGAACCGAATCAGAACGCAGATTTCGGTGCCATGCCTGAGCGATCGATTGAAATATTTGTCCTCTGGTTCTCCGAAAGTAACGAGAGTGTCCATGTTGTTTTTACATTCTGACTTAAAAGCACAACTCGGGAAATGAGAGCATCCGAGGAGCGCGTGAATGCAGTAATTACACTTGCTCTGTCTGCAGCAGGTAGCCTTCCGTTAACTAAGCTAAACATGCTTAAATTATAATGCCTAAAGCTAAACTTCCCTTGTATTCACATTTTTAAACCTGTTGTCCAACAAAAGAGAACATTATAACCTTTTTACTCCACAACACCAGTCAAATGCTACCTTTTGTGATCTGATGAGGCTTCTTGTCACAGAATAAGGCATAAAATATGTTCTATAGGCTACTTTAAAAAGAATACATCGATTAGCAATGGATTATAAATATACTTAATTATTATGAAAATACCAGAGATGGCTTGAATAACACAGAACATCATGTGTTTATAGTGCTAATGGCCAATCCATCATTTTTTGGGGAATTTTTATTTTTTATTTTTTTATAAGTATTGGTTCAGGCACCGGAACCGTTTTAAAAGTATCGATTTGGCACCGGTATCGAAAAAAACCCAAACAATACCCAACCCTAGTCTTTATGCAGAGAACTCTGCTCATATGTTTTGCATAATAATGCATTTAAAAGTTAATGGCCAAACGGATGTTTATAAAAGTTCACAACATTGTTGTTGCAGATGAAATATAACACAGATAACCGGGTTAAATGTTGATTATTAGTAACTCAAACCCCTTTATATAATCATCTCTACTTAACCATCGGTCGCGCACATCTGCCAGTTTTTTAACGCTTTTTATTCATGTTTGTAGTTCAGAACCGAATTCTTCACCAAAGCGCAATGGATTGTGTAAAAAGAGGACTGTATGGTATTTTAAATTTGTAAACCTAATTAGTTTTCTTATTTTCTTGATTTTGTCTTTGTTCAGGCATAAAAATTTAACACATTTTGCTAAAGGTTTTATCCGCTATTTAAAGATGGTTTAGATTTAATATTTCAACACATTTCTACTTCACAGAAAAAAAAAATCTGTTTCCTGTACACAAATACATTTAGCTGTATTTCCTGATGCATTGTACATTGTAACTGTTTTCAGCTTTGAAAATAATAAGAAATGTTTCTTGAGCACCAAATCAGCATATTAGACTGATTTGAAGCTGATTTCTAATGCTGAAAATTCAGCTGTGTCTTCACAGGATTAAATTACATTTTAAAATATATTATAATTATCGCGATTAATCGTATCCAAAATAAAAGTTTTTGTTTACATAATATATGTGTGTGTACTGTGTATATTTATTATGTATATATAAATACACACACATGTATGTATATATTTAAGAAAAATATGCTACGTTTATATATTAAATATATTTATATATGATATAAATTATATTAATATAAATATATACATGTAAATATAGGTAAATATTTTCAAAATATATGCTGTATGTGTGTGTATTTATATATACATAATAAATATACACAATACACATATATTATGTAAATAAAAACTTATGTTTTATATATACATAATAAATATACACAATACACACACATATATTATGTAAACAAAAACGTATTTTGGATGCGATTAATCGCGATTAATAGTTTGACAGCACTAATTATAATAGAAAACGGTTCTTTTAAATCGCAAAAAAAATTCACAATATTACTTTTTTTAACTGTACATTTGATCAAATAAATAAAGCCTTGGTATTTATTTAAAACATGTCACCGACTCCAAACTTTTGAATGGTAGTGTACATAAGGCATATCATGCACAAATTAATTGTGACATATGTTAAATCACTAGTGCTGAATATGAGCACTTCAGCCCAGCTGACGTTTGGCATGCCTGCAGAGTTCAGCCCTCCAAATTCTCCAGACCCCCTCTCTCCTGTTGCTTATTTCCCATACTTCCACGGCTCCTACCTGGCAGTGGCCGCATCACTTAATGGAGGCAATGTCATGGCCATCTTTGTCAGAATGCTGGACTTGTGGATGAAAGAATTTGGTAAATCAACAATTGTTACATTTCTAAATTTATTATTGTTTAAAAATAAAGTGTGCCTTTTTATATTGTAGGGTAGGGTTGCACAATTAATACAATTTCTAATTGCGATTACAATTGTGGATGCAACAATTACTCAATCGTTCAAAGCGGCAATTAATTGTTCAAAGTCCACTTATGTTATTCTGCGTGCTTAAGATGTGTTTTTTTTTTCTACAGGTTATCTTAAGGGTTTTTCAATTATTTTAATTTTAGTTTTAGTATACCATTATAATACCATGCATATTTTTTACTTTTTTTATTATTTAAAGAAGAAACCAATGCAATGTGTAGTTGACATTTGAAGCTTAATACTATGGAAAAGCAATAAAAAAATTTCAGTTAGTGTTTTCAGCTTGTTTATTTTCATATAAAAATATGGCATGCAGTTGCTTCAAACAATGGTATAAACATCATTCATTGTAAATTGTGATAATCGTAATTAATAATCACAATTACAATTTCAA